ACTCTCGCACAGTCGCACAAACTAAACAACCACATAAAGTGAACAATGGGACGGCAATTGTGTTCGACGGTAGCCAGCATCCGCATGTGCTCAGTGCATTGAAGTGGATAAATTAGCAAAAAGTACCCGCAATTATCTGTCAAAAAAACCGAAAACGTATCTATTGTGCGCCGGCCTTGATGCAGCTGCACAAACATCTTACCCGGTGATCAACACTCGCATGACATATAGCTAATTGGCGCTACATACTGAGTATTAATCTATTACTTTCCCCAAAAAGGATGTGCCATTGGCCTTGAGTATCACGTGCCTAAAGCATACGGAGGCATTAGTACAATTGACCCAAACAGTTTGTCGCAGATACAGAGCCGCACCACGAAACATACAACTGGACTCCCCTTATAAACGAACACCATACATGAACGATACAAATCGTTCTACAATACCACATATTGTTGAGATGATAACCCAAATAGGTTTTTAGGCACTCCTTATAATGCGGGTCCGTCGGGGTACTACAGATAGACGACAAACCGACATAAACCAGTCAAAAGGTAACCTGAAATGCTCAATGAGCCCTGGGTTGATTGTAGACTCTAACCTTAAGGCCGGCGCACAATAGATACGTTTTCGGGTTCTTTGACAGTTAGCCCAAGCATTATCAGTCAAAAAACCCGAAAACGTATCTATTGTGCGCCGGCCTTTACAGTGCTGATCGTCTACCTCAGCAATCGACAGAACGACGACTCACGATCTTACAGTTCACAACGTGGAGGTACAAAGGTCTTCGAAAGGTAAAGATCAGGTCACTACATATATGGAACGATAGGTCAGCGTTGTGTCACCTCGACAGAGGGCCTTTATTTCCAGATCTAATTCCTTGGCAGTCCAGTACGGCATCGACCGTGCCACTCAGGACGACGCGGCAGTAGCAATAAGACGGTGCGACGGGCTACAACGGTGCAACGGAAGGGTCGCTGCATGACGCGCACTACTACATCGGCACAGTGAGTGGCGCGACAAGAGTCAGCGCAGCTTGCAACGGTATCCGACCGTGCTACAAAATAGAGATTCGACGTTGGTTGCAACACACCATTGCTGACCCCATCGGAGATCGACAAGATTGCATGCAGCTAAAGTGACATTAAGGGGCCCCAACGTCACGTGTAGCAATTAAGATTAATATATGTATGTAGATAGATAAGCTTGAGACGTGCGATGGACATGAAATGAGTATTGTATGGTTAAGTTACAAACAATCTACAATATTGTACCTTGTTTGAGTTTTCACGTCCTCGTTTCATTCCCGGCCATTAGTAACTAGTGCACCTCGTTCCTTCTGAGTGGCTAGCCGGCCTAAATAAGAGTTTGAGCGGTGTTTACACACCAAGGGTCCATTTCTCACTTGGTGGTACCTACATTATTCTTTAGCACGATACCGTTGACTTAATTCGCTCTAATATCTTTCGATACTTTGTTCAAGTATCCGGCAACTTTTCAGTCATAATCGGAAATTGTCACATTGACGCCCAACCAAAAAACCCAAGTTCGCGTGCAGTAATTCACGTTTAGTCAAGTGAGTGATCAGTGATTATTTTGTAAAACGAGCGTGTAGTAGCAGAACCATCATGGACTTGGAGCACATCACCCAAGAGGAACTAGATTTCGAACTGACGGTGAGAACGGTGCAAGGATTGAGGGGAAAGGATCGCAACTGGAAAATCACACGTCTACTTCAACTTATGACCAAGGAGAACGATGGAGGAGCAGCCACACCAACATCGTCTACACATGTGCTTTCGGACGTGGATAGTATATACCAGTGCCAAGCGAAATTGCCCCCAATCAGTCAGGCCTTGGAATCAGCATTTCGGAAAAATAACGATATGCAGATCAAGGCTTTTGCACTACAAATTTAGGCTATCCGTCATATCGGATCCGATGATCACAGTAAATGCCAACAAATCGCTGGGCAAGATCAAAAAAACTCTGGAAAAAATAGAAGAGTTCCTAGTGAACCTGGCGTGTGCGAACCCAGAAGAAGAAGAAGTAGACGACCCCGATCCATGAAAAAAAAAAAAACCTGGGGATCCAGACACTCAGCAAAGGCTCAAGATCGCGCAGCTACAATCAAGCATAAAAGAAGCTTCCCAATACGACAGCTGCCCAAGCCATGACATCAAAATCGTCATCAAAGATGTTTACGCTCAGGTCGGCCAGGAGGAGGAATTCAGACCGGTTATGGGAAAGTTCAGCGCTCACCAGCTAACGAACGCCAACGGCCTTAGACTCATCGATTTCGCCGCCTCTAAGAACATGGCCATACGTAGTACCTACTTCCAGCATAGCCTCCCTTATCGGTACATCTGGAGATCACCGCAGCAGACAGAATCGCAAATCGACCACGTTTTGATCGACGGAAGGCACTTTTCGGACACTATCGACGTCAGGACCTATCGCGGTGCAAATATCGATTCGGACCACTACCTTGTAATGGTCAAGGTGCGCCAAAAACTTTCCGTTGTCAACAACATTCGGTACCAACGCCCGCCACGCTACAATCTGGAGCGACTGAAGCTGCCCGAAGTCGCAACTGAGTACGTGCAATGCCTCGACGCAGCGTTGCCGGATGATGGAGAGCTCACCGAAGCCCCTCTTGAGGACTGCTGGAGCAATGTGAAAGCAGCCATTAACAGCGCTGTTGAAGGCGCCGTTGGAATCGTGGAGTGAAATCGACGGAACGATTGGTTCGACGAAGAGTGTCAGACGGTTTTGGACGAGAAGAACGCAGCGCGGGCGGCGATGCTGCAGCAAGGAACCCGTCATAATGTGGAGCGATATAAACAGAAGCGAAGACAGCAAACCCATCTTTTCCGGGATAAGAAGCGCCGCCTGGAAGAGCTGGAGTGCGAAGAAAGGGAGCAGCTGTATCGTTCTCAAGAAACACGCAAGTTTTACAAGAAACTCAACGCATCCCGCCAAGGCTTTGTGCCGCGAGCCGAAATGTGTCGGGATAAGGAAGGGGGTATCTTAACGGACGAACGTAAGGTGATTGAAAGGTGGAAGCAGCACTACGACGAACATCTGAATGGCGCAGAGGCGGAGGACCATGGCGGCGGGAGGAATGGCTTCGTCGGTACAGCGGATGAGGGGGACATGCCAGCTCCCACGATAGGTGAAGTTAAGGATGTTATCCGACAGCTTAAGAGCAGCTGGGAAAGATGGTATCGGAGCGGAACTTATCAAAATGGGTCCGGATAAGTTGGCCACTTGTCTGCACCGACTGATAGTCAGGATCTGGGATACAGAACAGCTACCGGAGGAGCGGAAATAGGGAGTTATATGCCCAGTATATAAAAAAAGCGACAAACTAGAATGTGAGAACTATCGAGCGATCACTATTCAATAAGTCCAGCCAGTTCATCTGCTTCGCTGACGACGTGGACATTGTCGGAAGAACGTTTCTGGCCGTGGCGGAGCAGTACACCAGGCTGAAACGTGAAGCAGAGAAGGTTGGATTAAAGGCGAATACGTCGAAGACAAAGTATCTATTAGCTGGAGGAACCGAGCGGGATAGGGCTCGCGTAGGCAGAAGCGTGACAATCGACGGAGATGAGTTTGAGGTGGGGGATGAATTTGTGTACCTCGGACCATTGGTGACGTCGGATAACAACTGCAGCAGAGAAATTCGTCGGCGTATTATTGCCGGAAGTCGTGCTTACTACGGACTCCACAAGACCCTGAGGTCGGGTAAACTTCACCTCCGTTCTAAATGTACAATGTACAAGACGCTGATAAGACCGGTAGTTCTCTACGGGCACGAGACGTGGACGATGCTCGAGGAGGACCTGCAAGCACTGAGTGTTTTCGAACGAGGAGTGCTTAGGACCATCTTTGGCGGGGTATGTGAGAACGGTGTATGAAGGCGAAGGATGAACCACGAGCTGGCGCTACTCTATGGCGAACCCTGTATCCAGGAAGTTGCGAAAGCTAAACGGGTACGATGGGCGGGAGACGGTTTAAGAATGCCGGACAACAATCCCGCAAAAATGGTGTTTGCCTCGAATCTGGCCGGTACAAGATGAAGTGGAGCACAGCGAGCAAGGTGGTTAGACCAAGTGGAGCAGGATCTTGGAAGTGTTAGACGGTCAAGAAATTGGAGACAAGCAGCCACGGACCGAGTGAATTGGCGTAACATTGTGATGCAGGGGCAATCCTGAGGGATGTCGGACCAGGATAAGTAAGTAAGTATTCCACTACAGGACGTCAAGAGATGAATAACGAACACCATACGGAAAGCATGGGAGACTAAATGGTCTCGTGCCCAATCGTTTTTCATCAGTAACGTCAAAGGAAGCACCGAGAAATTGAAGGACCTTAAGAAGCTGCGTGACCACCCAGGCTGCGGTATAGGACTTTCTGAAGATCGCGAAGCTATACTTCAGTATCTAGCATCACAGCTTGTTTCCTGTTATTGTTGTCTGTCTTGTTCGAAACGTATTCGGATCTCACTATGCTAGAAATTACGTGTGCTTAGAATATTTTTCTGTTAAGTTTCAAGTTTTATTTTATAATTATTAATTACGCATTCTACACTATTCTAACCAAACGGAATTGGTTTCCCGTCAAGATTAAACACTGCAATGCCAAAAAACTCTGTTTAGGGACCTCTTATGAGGCTTTCCTTCTGACTGAGATGAACTAGCATATGACTTAAAATCTCGTTAATAAAAATTAAAACCAAAATCTTTAGTGACTTGTCCTAAAAAAAGGAGACTTTTTAGTGACTGACTTGAAACAAGTGACCAAGTCACTAAAAAGTAACTCGCTACCAGCTCTGATATAGTTGAAATTTAGGTCGATGAGCTCCAATGGTTACAGAGGAATCTCAAAGTTTAGACAATCTTCAACTCACGTCCAGAGTACTTTCAGAACACGTTTAGAGAATACGAAGTGGCCAAATGACTCCACGAGCAAGGACTTCTACGGAAGTTTTTGAGGACTTCAAATAATAGTGAATGTTTGGGACAGGTTTCTTCTTGATCCAATCAAATCAAACGACACCGGTTCTTTCTCAGTAACGTTTTATTATCACTAGTTCTTTGTTTTTTTTTCTTGCTTTCAGACACCCTCACGTTCCACTTCTGCCGAGGGGTCTCTCAATAGCCTGTTGCTTTTTTTTTGCTATCTTAATTTTCATTATTTTATTTTGTCTTCAGAATTGATTTCTGTTTTCATAAGTTAAAGTAATTAGTTCGAACTGTGGGGAGGGGAATGGTGTCATGTCGTAGATATATTTCACTTTCATTCTTCCGGTTTTTTTTTAATTTTCTTTCAGACGGTAAATCCAAACAGTTCAATTCGTTTCCTAGTGGAAATCGCGAATAATTTTGTCTTTATCCACAAGCTAATACTCCGTGACTCCGCGAGTCATGGTCTAATCATAAGTTTCTTGCTTTCAAGATTTTCTTTGCATACCTATAGGCGACAAATTATTGCATATTGACTTAGTTCCAGTTACGTGACGGTTGTACCGTGCGTTTGTGTGTGTTTGGTTCGTCCTCTCCAAATCGCGTGAAACGGTTTCTTTTTGGGAAGCAAGAGTAACGGGAAATTAAACTATCACGTACAATAGATACAAAAAGATCAGCTTAGAAAGCTTGGCTTCCACCCGAAAGTAATTTAAGCATTTCGTTTTTTACAGATTTCACTTGTTCTAGTTCTCACTCGAAGGCACACTGAATTGATCGTTTTGTCCGTGGTTCCGTTTTCTGAATGGTTTCAATTTAGTGTGTTATGCTCGGTTTCTTCTTCCGGTGCAGTCGTTGTTCGTGGAAAAGGAGTTGAAAGCAGAAGTACGTTGTTGAAAATTAATGTTTGAAAAACTCGCATCGTACTTTGATGCCGTTGCTTGATTATACCGTACTGCATTGCATGCCGTCACTTTATTTCCGTGTTGATTAAAATGTGAACTAATCTAACTAATAGCTGAGTTGAGTTTAACGACGCTTCATCGAGAAAGATAAAAATGTTTCAAACATTGCCTACCGTACGTAGTTGACGTGCTAGTCTTAATTTTAGGTTATGTTACCTTTCGCTAAATAAATGTGTGGGTTTGCTCTACTCTCACTCTTCGTAAAAAATGTTTTCCGTGTACTTGCTTTGGAAAGGTTTGCTCCTCCTAGCTTCTTGTTTGCCTAATGTTCGTCTACTGTTACAATATCTACTTAATCCTTCAGTAACGCAGCAACATAACACGAGAAATGACGGATTGTAAAGGTATTGTCCTTTAATGTCTTCAGAAGTAGATTTCTTTTAAAAATGTTTGAATTATTTATATGTATAGAGAGAGAGAGAGAGAGGGGGGGGTAGTAATAAATGATTGAATATTCAGATTAAAATCAGTGGTAACACTTTTTCAATACGCATGTTCCGTTCACACTTTTAGTGCTTCGTAAATTTAACTTTTTGCTTGCAATTTACAAGCCAATAAAATTTCTTTCCTTCATTTCACTCCGCCGAGAGGGTGAGTGACTGATAAACGTCTTGGATATTATTCTTAAAGCTATCACAAATGCTGCGCAGTGTGTTGGTGTATCAGCAAACAGAACCTACTGTCAAGAATTAAGAGTAAAAATGCTATTTTCCTACCGCCATACGCTAGCGCAGAAAGGTAATGATTGATATCACAAAACACAGTTTTTGTTTCTTTTTTTTTATTTTCCTTTATTGCACGAACCCGCCTTCGACGATTTCACTGACTGTGTTTTCCAATCGATTTGACCTATAATCTTTTGATGTACTGTTTGGGAAATTTGAATCAAAGCTGTGCAATAACCCCATCACATCTAGATGAACATTTCAAAGGGTCCTATCTGCTTTGAGCGATTCTCTTCATCGACTTTCGCTTTCGTCAACAACTCAGTTGCAAAATCATTCACTGCTATGTTTGACTTCTGGACGCTAGATGAGATTCTCCTTTATCAAACTATGTTGCCAAAGTAACATCAAAATCTGTTTACATACCCTGGGTTAGCAAAAGAGAATCGATAAAAGAAGATAGGACATTTTGAAATGTTTATCTAGACTTGCTTATTTGTTTGTTTGTTTGTAAACAAAGCCCTCAGCTGATGCCTGTAAATTTGAGGTTATGCATTGATTTATTCATAACCCTGTTCCTCACCACTTCTGTCATTCGTGAATTATTTAAAAACTAATTTAATACTACTTATTTTGTTTTTACTCTGATCAATTGTTTTTGTTTATTTGTGTTGTCAATTTCATACAATTAAAAGGCAATCAACAAGGTTCGCTCTTCCGTTCGCTCGCTCTTAAATTATGTTCGCACTTTTGCTTGAATATTTTGGGTATCATTTTGAAGCTTTTGTTTGTGTTTGCGTATCTGACAGCTGTCACATACATAAGAAAGATGAAAAGGGAAAAACTTTGATAGGATTAGTGTTAGGAGTTTAATCTAAAAATTCACAACATGTTGAATGATGATGCCGTTGATGTGTAGTTGGTCTTGGACCTGTTTCAAAGCAAACTTTCGGGGAGTATCATCGGTTTCCGGAGTTGACCGGAGATCAAATTCATGTGAGTAAAATGTAATATCTACACAGGGGCTCCTTCTGGCGTTGCATTCAGCTACCGCTGATCACCGCTCAGTTCCCAGTTCAATCTCACCACAGGCCACCATAGTCGACGGCCACTAGTCAATCTTGCTGGTCTTGATGATGATGTTGTTTTCCTGCAGCATGGATACGGATTTTGCCGGGGATGACGATCGGGACGAAGGTCGCGAAGATGACCGGGAGATGTAGTGATGTGAAGCGACACCTGGAGGAGCAGACGTGGTAGCTAAAGGTGATGGGGTGGGCGCCAGTGAGGGTTCCGCCGAAGCGGAGCCACCATTTTTGATGAACGGTGGATTGGTGACGATGGCCGGTGGAAGAGGGCTGAACAGGAAGGTTACCAACTTGCAAAGCAGGGTGCACAGGATGGCCTCGTGGACAACGGCCATGGCGCGGTAGTTGGGACCCTCGAAGGGGTCCTTGAGGGCCGGGCAGAGCATGTGGTTCAGGTTGACCTGTGAGGGCTGGAAGAAGAGGAAACTATTTAATTATCTCATGTTATTCTGAAAGAGACTTATCCAGTAGAGGCCACGAAAGTTGTAAAACACGATAGACTTTAGCAGCATGGTCATGAGTGCACTGTTCTAGATCCACCAAATTTCCTGACTTGATATTTAAGCATGACAAATGATACGCATCGTTTGTCGCACTTTATAGGCATACCACTGATTAATTTTGATGCATCATCGTTGAGTTTAATTGACATTTAAATATCAATTAAATTAGCTGTATAATTCGGTAAGCGGACGACAACTATTGGCTATTTGAAGTTTATCATTCAGTTGAACCACTTCTTTGTCGCCAAACGAGTATCGCGAGAATCGGTGTCCATAGGTCTACCCAGTTACTACTAGCACCAGTCCAGTGCAATGAGTGCAAAAAGTGAAAAGTATCTCATCGCTATTTCCATACAAGCAGTGGCTGTTTTCTGCGTCCTGAATAATTCGTCGTTGAATCCTTATTCAAACGCAAAAAAGCCCTTTATCCTACGAGTATCAAAAATAGAATGTAAGGGTTATCCTACGCCATACACCTTGCTCCATCAGTGCCGTATACAGTTGAACCGAAACACGGCACCAGTAGTTATGAAGCGTTGTACTATCCGCAAACCCATCGAATTCGCATTTTTACACTTGACGATGTACTACAGATTTAGTGGCAACTATCGACCGTTGCTGATAGATATGGAAATCGATGCATGTAAAGTGGCAAAATCGATTTTAACAACTGGCATTAAGGGTGATGATAAATTTGGAGGATTCATGTTCCAACAGCTAGTCGATTTCATGCCCTATAAAATACCTTGCCCGTGGCCAGCGGTAAGTTGATTAACGCTCCGTCTAGGCATGATAACATCGAGTCATGTTTGCTTCTTCATCTTCAGGCTGAGGTCTTCATTAATAACTTTACGATAACGGAAGATTCGGTGCCAAGCCTTTTTCCCGCGGGTGACTACAAAGTGGTGGAACGCTTGTTTGATGACAACAATGTGACCATATTGCAAGATGATTTGTACTTTTGGGTTCGTAGCAAAGGAATAGTCGATCTGTCGATGGGATAGCTGAGGATGATGCTAGAGCACGGTAACACCCCAATTATCATACTTGATGGATAAAGTATGTACATTTAGATGCATTCATAGTTGAATATAATTTCAAGATTTCCAAGAAATTTTCGAGATTCTTGACCAAGCAAAATTGCCAAGATCTTGCCGCCCCTTGAAAAATAATTTCAGATTCTGTGTCTTAAAAAAAGTGCTTCACCTTCGCTTAAGCCGTAGAACCAGGTTTAACTATAGGGGTAAACTATGGAGCAAAATTTCAAATTTTGCTTCAGTCTAATATATACCCTCCACACACTTGTGTATATGTCGAGGCTCAAGTCAACTGGGAATTCCTTCTTGACGACATCTGTACCTTCACTGCCTTTCCATGTGTATAATGGATGGTTAATTGCTCGGGGTTCTGCATAAGGGCATTCTTGACTTCTCTGGACATAGAGTATGATTGTACTTGCCATACAATTATACTAATGCAAAAATGGTACACCCAACTAATAATTTTAGCTGCAGGTTAGCTTATACAGCCAAAGATTAGCTTATACAATAAATTTTTACCTAGATCAGTTAGTCTACAGTTAAAATTGTTTGTTAGGCAGGCATCAAAAGCTCTCAATCAATAACTGTGGAAGTGCACCTAGAACACTAAGTGAAGAGCACGCAATAAGCTAATTTGCCATAAAATGGAGACGGAGCCTTCTTGATGTCCGGAATAAACGCAGCGCCGACATCGCGTCTGACCATCACCTTCTAATCGGTGAAATCCGCCTACGCATGGCGCGGATCCAGCGACGGGAGGAGAGACTCGGGCGGCGGTTCAACACACGCCGACTTGAAGATCCAGCGGTAAAAAGGTCTTTTGTTCATGAACTTGAGACTCGAGCTGCGGACGTTCCAGAAGGTGGCAGCGTAGAAGAACAATGGACGGCCATCAAGAATGCCTTTATAGAAACAAGCGAGAACAACTTGGGTGAGCTGCGCACCCAGAGGAAAGAGTGGATCACAGATGAAACCTGGCGGAAGATTGAGGAGCGTAGAGAAGCAAAAGCCACGATAGAGCGGGCGAGAACCAGAGGAGCCAAGAACGAAGCCCGTCAACGGTACTCGGCTCTAGAGAAGGAAGTCAAGCGCTCTTGCAGAAAGCCGCAAACACTGGCGATATACGCCTCCTCTACGATATCTCACGACGCCTGAATGGAGCAAGGATGAACCCGAGGATGCCAGTGAAGGACACGACTGGACAATTGCTTACCGACCCCACTGACCAGCTGAAACGCTGGTTTGAGCACTTCGAACAACTTCTTCAAGTTTCGACGGCCAACCAGCCATCAACATCTCGGCATGATCCGCCTAGGGTGCGGCGCATCACTCGCGTCAATTCCGAGGCCCCATCACTGCAGGAGATTGAAGCAGCTATCCGAAGCATGAAATCCAACAAAGCTCCAGGGGTCGATCGCATATCAGCAGAGATGCTCAAAGCTGACCCCATGCTATCCGCACAAATGTTGCATCAACTATTCTGTAATATCTGGGACACCGCGACTTTTCCGGCCGACTGGATGCAGGGCATCTTAGTGAAGGTCCCAAAGAAGGGGGATCTGACTGTGTATTGTTCTCAAAGTTCTGTGCAAAGTTATCCTGAATCGGATACAGGAGAAGATCGACGCGACTCTCCGACGGCAGCAGGCAGGATTCCGTGCCGGAAGATCTTGTGTGGACCATATTGTCACGCTCCGCATCATCCTGGAGCACGTCAATGAGTTCCAAGAGTCTCTTTATTTGGTATTCATTGACTACGAAAAAGCTTTCGACCGTCTCAATCACGAGAATCTGTGGGGCGCCCTGAGATGCAAGGGAGTCCCGGATAAAATCGTCAACCTCATCGAAGCGCAGTATGAGGCTTTCACGTGCAGAGTTCTGCATAACGGAGCCTTGTCCGACCCTATCCGGGTAGTCGCTGGTGTGAGACAAGGATGTATACTATCACCGCTACTGTTTCTCATCGTAATCGACGAGATCATGGTAGGTGCAATTGACCGTGTACCGAACCGTGGGCTGCTTTGGCAGCCTATCACCATGGAGCCTTTCAACGACTTCGATTTGGCTGATGATGTTGCTCTACTAGCACAACGGCGCTCTGATATGCAGAGTAAGCTCAATGACCTAGCCGAACGCTCCTCTGCGGCGGGTCTCACCATCAACGTCAACAAGACCAAATCGTTGGATATCAACACGGGCAACCCTTCCAACTTTACGGTAGCGGGGCAAGCAGTGGAGAAGGTCGAAAGTTTCCACTATCTTGGCAGCCAAATAGCGTCGGACGGCGGGACCAAGAGCGACATAGGTGCACGAATCAAGAAGGCTGCCTTTGCGAGTTTACGAAACGTATGGAGATCCAACCAGATAAGTCAACGCACCAAAATCCGAATTTTCAACTCGAACGTGAAATCTGTGTTGTTATACGCCAGCGAGACGTGGTGTGTATCAGCGGAGAACACTCAAAAGCTGCAGGTCTTCATCAACCGATGCCTGCGGTATATAATTCGTGCCTGGTGGCCTCACAACTGGATCTCGAATGCCGAGCTCCATCGTTGATGTCATCAGAAGCCGATAGCAACAGAAATTCGAGAGCGAAAGTGGAGGTGGGTCGGCCACACACTTCGACGGGGCGGAAACGAAATCTGCAAGCAAGCGCTGGATTGGAATCCAGCAGGACATCGCAGCAGAGGCAGACCCAGGGGCTCATGGCGGCGGAGCCTCAATAAGGAAATTAAGCAAGTCGATAGAAATCTGACCTGGGCCCAGGTCAAGGCAAAAGCGAGCAGCCGCCCAGGATGGAAGTCTTTCACGTTGGCCCTTTGCACCGCTGGTGGTGCACAGGACCCTTAAGTAAGTAAGTAATTTGCGATAAGCAATAAGCTTGAACTGCGAAGAAGAAGAAGAAGAAGAAGAAGAAGAAGAAGAAGAATAATAATAAGAAGAAAAAAGAATAAGAATAAGGAAATCGCCTTCTCCTGCGCTATCCGGTACGTGGCGTGTATGTTAATGGGATTCAAGTACAGTGATTTTACGAAATTTGCATCGCAAGGTGAGCTTCGCACTTCCATTTGGATAGGTAAAACACAAGGTGTGTTTTATTTCGACCATACCGAAATTGTTGCTTCCAACGACGACAAAGGCACTGACCGACCTGTAGGCAATGAACAGTGCGTACCAAAAGAAGTAAACTGAAGAAAATTTTGGTAGGGTCACAGATTTTAAATGTTTTGCATCCCGAATAGTTTGTTTTTATTGAAATTTCTTCTACTTTGAAATAGGGGAAATGGACGTAATATCGGTCTAAATGCCCCTAATTTGGGTCCATACATAAATCCAGAAATCGACTAAATTTTCAATAGCGACCAAAAATAGCCATTAGTACTGTCTCAATGACGCGTTCATCTAGATAAAATTGATAAATAGCAGATTTTTAGCCATGGGCCCAATCTTTGATCCATAGGCCAACATGAGAGCCATTTTGACTATGTGTAGTTTTTTTTAGAACTAATTTAGATTATCGATTTAAAAAATCGATTTTGCTCCAAACAGTCTAGTTTACTTGAGCTCCAGATCATTGCCCCAACATTAACGTTAGTGTTAATGTCTGGAATGGTACATTTTCAATGCAGACGTTAACGTAGTCGTTATCGACCGTTATCGGTTAAAACCCTGATTTGAACTCATGTATTTACCGAGGGGGGCAAAAATCTCACACTAGCGAATCAATCTACGAAAAATCTTCTTTATTTCTCGCATCTACTTGCATCTTGCATCATATTTTTGCAGGAAATCTTTAGAATCGTAATCAATCTTCTTTCTATTTACTTAGCGTGCGTGCAGCTAACCAACATCTTCCTGCATCGTAGA